CCCCCTCCCACTCTCCTCCTTCCTCCCCCAAAAAAAAACGTTAGACGAAATAAAAAAAAGAGAAAAAATCACTAAAAAATAAATGTATCACGTGTATCGGATAAGTTATAAAAATGAATGAATGAGTGAATGAATGAATGAATGACATTTTACTGATGTGTAAATAGATTGAATGATGTACACGAAGGATTTTCGTGGAAATGTTTTAAAACGGTAAAAAAAAAAAAAAAAGGAAAAACTTTGAATAAATTTATGTGCAGAAGATGTGTTTCGTAGTTTTCTTTCGATGATTTTCTTTACGAATTTATTTATTTTTCGTATTTTATATCCGGTTAAAAAAAATTTTTCCATTGAAATTTCCGGTTTCGAATGATTTTAATTAACCGCCTTTTTTTGACATTTTTTTAATTACTCGAAATAAAACTGCATGGAATTTTTTTGTCTGTTTTTTTCCTTTCCGGAAAATTTATATATAAAAAAAAAAATTATCTTAGTCGATCGTAAATATTAATTAACGCCCGAGCCGAACTCTTTTTTTTTCTGGGGGGTGAGAGAGAGACGGGGGGAGGCGGAAGGAAGCAGAGGAAAAGGAAAAGGACGGGGAGAAAGGGAAAATCATAATATCATTCTTTACATTCAAAGGTTTTATGATTTTTTCAAAATGAGCTTTATTACATTTTTATTTCATAATTTTTTGTTTTTTAACTTAGGGATATGAATATTTTAACGTTATTGTTATAATCCATCTTAAATCTTCTGCCACGTCCATTTTTTTATATCCGTTAAGCGCGTAAAATGCGTAAATTGAATTATTTTATAAACTTATTTTTTTATACATTTCTGCGCATTCACTTACACTTTTTTTTCTCACAAAATTTTATCGAATCGTTAAAAATCGATTAATTATCGATATATCGATAAATTCAAATCGTTTAAAACCTTATCCGCGTTAAAAAAAAAAAAATGGCGTATTGATTAAAATTTTAGTTTTATCGTCTTATAAAATTTACATATAAAATTCATTGTTTTTATTTTTTTTTGTTTTGTTTTGACAAACGACATTTTGTTTGTTTATATTTCCTTTCATTTGTTATAATTTAAAAAAATAAATAAATTGGTTGTATTTTTTTTTTTTTTTTTTGCGTCATTTGTCGTTGTTTCATTTTTTTTATTTTCACTGACATTTTTCGTGACAACCGTCAGAATTTTTATTCCGAACATAAAAACTAAAAAAAAAGAAAATGTATTCTATCGGAAAAACAAAAAAAAAACAAAGACAGTCGACTTAAAACGTATTATTTTATGTGATTGATATTTTTTTTTTTTAACATGTTACCTCCATTGAAAACTTTTCCACATTGTTCCCAAGAAAGATTTCTAATTCCGGTTTAAATCCTTTGGGATTAACGGGGAAGGGGGGGGGTGGTGGACCACATTGGGAAAACATTTAAACGCATACCGATCGTAAATAATTCGCTTATGACCTCTCTCACTCTCTCTCTTCATGTATTTAAATTATTCATTTCAAAAAGAATCATTTTCTATCGAAAAAATTGGGTCACTCAACAAAGTTACTGATAAGAATGTCCCATTGGGAGTTATCGACTTTTTTGGGGGGACTTTGAGTGCGAATAAAAAAAAATATTTACTTGTTTTTTATTTTCTCTTTCTCTCTCTCTCTCTGTATTGTCAATTGAATTTTTTTTCCCTACTACCATAAATGATTTTGATTATTCCTTTTCCTCCTCTTCCCTTCCCTGCCCCCCTTTAAAAAAAAGGAAATACGTAAGCGATGATTAAGAAAAAAAAGAAAAAAATTATTTTAATAAAAATAAATAAATAATATTATTGACAAAATAAATAAATTTAAATTTAAATTAAAAACAACAAATTTTTTTCTTCTGCTTTTTTTCCGGGTTTGTTAACACGACGTCATTAATTTTCTCATTTCGACAGAATTCCAAGAAACGTTATTAGGTTTGTTACAAATGACTAATTTTTTACTTCTGCTTAAATTAGGTTTATCCGTCCAAATTTTCGTTTTTGGATTTTCCATTGCCCACAAATAAAATTCCGATAATTTGCAATCGCATTCCCACGGATTATTCGATAGGAGTAGTGACGTCGGACGAGTCGGAAACGAGGGAATCCCCTTGAATATTTTCAAATCGATATTTATAAAAAAATTATGGGACAAATCTAAAATGGTTAAATGTTTCAAAGGTGTGAAAATCTCTTCGGGTAATGATTTTAAAAGATTGTGGCTCACATCCAAATGAATTAATTCTGGAACTTGACCAAATGTTGATCCGGAAAAATGCTGAATATTACAATTTTTTAAGCTGAGAGATGTTAAAAATTTGGCATTTAAAAATGGACCGTTTTCGGGGATTTCTAAATTTTTATTTCCTTCTAAATTCAATCTATTTAATTTCGTGTGTTTGAATGTGTCGACGAATAATTTACGCAAATCGTTACGCGATATATCGACGAGTTTTAATTTTTTCAATCCTTCGAATGCGTTTTGTTCAATTTCCGTTAGACTCACGTTACTCAACAACAATTGCGATAAATATGGCGTCCTTTGAAATGACCTCGATTGAAGTATCGTTATGTTACTATTTCCTATTTCCAAATATTTCATTTCGTTTGTGTAACCGTCCAAATCGTCGTTAAACGATAAAAATATATCGTAGGGAAATAAATTTGAATATAATTTCGAACATTTTAAACCTCCTTTATATATTTTACATAAATCTCGACCGGGATCTCCCGCTATTCGATCAAAATAAAATCCCGTTGAATAGAAAAAAATAAATATTATTATTATTTTTGACATCATCTGCAAAGACACGCACACACACGTAAAACAAAGTAAATTAACTTTAACCAATTCTAACAAAATAATAATAATAATTTCTTTTATTTCACTTACGTTATTTTTAAACAAACGCTCATCCGATTATTATTAAACAAACAAAACGAAATAAAATATTTTTGAAAAAAAAAAAAAATTTATTTTAACCCACGTGTCAAAAGGTCAAATTAAAAAGGACAAAAAAAAATTCCGTTATTGATTTGAATTGATTTTTTTTTTTTTTTTTTTTTTTTTTTACAAAAACGACAACAAAAACAACTCGTTTTACGTATGAAATAATAATAATAATAATAATAATAATAATATAAACGAGCTTACGTTATAAAATTTTCCTTTTTTTTTCCCCTTTTTTTTTCCTTTTTTTATCTGAGTTCAACGATGTCGAAACTTTCAAATTTGCCAA